AGAACTTCCATCACTATTTGGTTTTAGACACAAGCAGGTATAGGTATCTCAGGGAAGCTTCAACTTCTCTGCTGTAAGAGCTCTCAGTCTCAGAAAAACCATTGTCCTCAGGCAGAGCTGTGGTGCAGACAGGAATTGATAGAGGTGGCTCAGCAGAGTACCCTGCCCATGGACTCTCAGATCAAATTCTCAGCCTTACATGCAGAACTACCACACCTAATCTCTCTGTACTGCAGTTTTCTCCTCTGTCGTTGGGTAAATAATGGTATCAACTATTGCTAGTATGAATCTGAAATTCCCTGAAGGAGCCACAACTGTTTTAAAAATCCTGCAGACTATTTGATCTTGGTCAAGTAAAAAGAACATTGCAATCATAGAGACCCAGAATATGACATGTCCAGAGCCAAAATGAACTTGGGATATCCTAGGTCTTTCAGAAAAATAGCCATTTATTTTTAACCTTTGTATGTGATCTAAAATTTTCATGATAATTAAATCAACCTTGCAGAATATATTACAATGCTTATTTACATCTGCCAGATCACTGGACTCCACCAACCCTAAAGCTAAGAATGCGAAGACCACGTCTGAAACCCATAGAAGAGATTTCCCCACCTTTCTATAACCTGCCTACCTCACACACCCACCATTGTGTTTATTGAATATATTGATTTGACTTACTTTGTTCTTTGGCTATAAAAATTTATATAATCTGTAGAACACATCATTCAGGGTAACTCGAGTCTGTGTTCCTGGGATGTGATCACTCATATTTGGTTCAGAATAAATTGTTTCTTTTTCCTTTAAAGCTAGGTTGTTATTTTATGTTAATATTAAGATTTTTTTTTAAGGTTAGACAGGTTAACATATGTGGAATACTTTGTTTAGTACCTGAAAAATATAGAAAGTATATATCAATGTTTCTTAAATGAGACAAAACAAACATGACCCTGATTTAGGAAAGTTTCATACATGTGAATATGTCTGTTATGGTCTAGATATGAGGTGTGCCAAAAAAGCTCATGTTTGAGACAATGCAAGAAGGTTTAGAGATGAAATGATTGTATTGAGAGAGCCTTAACTTAATCAGTGCACTAATCCACTGACAGGGATTAACTAGGTGGTAAGTGTAGGCAGATAGTGTGCAGCTGGAGTGGGTGGGTTGCTGGAGGCTTGCCTTTGGGGAATATACACTTGTCCCCCGTGAACCTAACTTAGTCTCTCTCTGCTCCCTGGTTGTCATGTCCTGAGCTGCTCTCCTGTGCCACACTCTTCTGCCCTGATGTTTTGCCCCACTTGGGAACAGAACAATGGATTTGGCCCTCTGTGGACTGAGACCTTTGGAACTATGAGCCTTAAATACACTTTTCCTCTTACACAGTGTTCTTTTCAGTTGTTTTGGTCTCAGCAATGAAATAAAGCTGACCAAAACAGAGTCTCTCAATACTATTTCCTTATTGATCTGGATCAAGCCCATTCGGATGCTCATAAGACACAACAGATGGAACAATGTCAAAAAGAAGACACATTGTCCTACTCAACAGGCCTCTACCAATCCACGCGCACGGTTCCTGTAAACACCCTCATGAAATTTCTCATTTATGTTGGCTCAAGGTGGTCACCCTAACTAGCTTATTACACATTATTGGATATTGCTTCAGTGACAGTCATAAACAAGATTTTGACTTGACTTGAATATCTTATTCAAGAAAGAAAATTATGTTATAACATTACCAAAATATAGCCAGATGGTTTAACATATGTAATGTACCTTACAAGCATAGATTAAAATATTGCAATATTTTACCTCTATCTTAATAAGTTACCTCTATCTTACCAGGGAACTAAATTAGGAGAGGAAGAAATAGTTTTCCTGTTTTTAAAAGTATAGGTCCCATTTTGAATTTTACTGATTTTAAATGGTGTTAACCCATGTATATTATTATTATTATTATTATTATTATTATTATTATTTTGGCAGTGCTGGGCACCAAACCCAAGTGACCCATGTACATTTTGATGTGGTTGCAATGGTACAAATTTCCATCAGTTGACTGAAGAAAATGTAAGACTGTTTCATTAACCTCAGCTCTATTAAAGAAGATGAGTTTATGTGATAAGGCTGCAAGCTTGAAGTGTGTTATTTTACATGACAGTCAATACAATGGTACAATGATGGATGACCACCCTGAGACAGCCAATTCCAATATGTCCCACTGACTACCACTTACTACACTCCCCTATTTCTTAAAATATCTGCATTTTGTATTCCATTTTTGATACTTTATTATATGTATTTATGATTTACAATGTGATGTTACAGGATATATATATATAAATAGCCAAATGGTTATCATGTGAGGATTAACAGTTACATTTACCTAATGTTCTTTACCTTTACCATCACATATTTTTCACTGTTGTATTATTGGCTAGAAGTGTCCCCAGCTCTTGTCAGTTTGTCAAGAATTATTTATTCAAAATCCGGTTTTGGGGAAACCTACTGGAAAGATTCTCTGATTTTCTTTCCATTCTCTGACATCTCTAGAAAGAGTCTCTGATTTTCCTTCCATTCTTTGACATCGCTAGCTTTAACCATCTCCCTGCCAGTGCCCTTTCTGTTACCTTAAAGCAAAATCTATAAAATGAGAACATGCATTCTCTTCAAATAAGAACCACCACTTAAAACATAAATGTGTTTGTATATTCTTGCACATTTTTACACCCTGTTGGGACCTATTTGCCAGTCTGGGTTCTCCTCCAGACAGAGCTTCTTAAGGACAGAGACTTGTCATCACTGATTAATTTGTTTCCCTGGGTCTTTCCTGTTTCCAGACACATACTAGGCACCTGGAAGATATGAATACAGAAGCATATCCATTCCACATTTGGAATGATACCTGCTTCTAGGGGACGGACAATCATACCTTGATTAAAATCAAGGTACTTATCTACCTTGTGACCTGATTCAAGCCTTGAACTTGATCAGGCTTCTGTGAAAGGCAGTCGATGAACCTATGGCACTTAAACAAAGTGGGAAGTTCAGCTCAATGCAAAGGGATGGCAAAATGCCTTGTGTTCAACCAAGTCAAGGCTTGTTTCTACTAAATGAGGGCAAATAACTAGTAGGGCATCTAGTTCAGTCTTCGGGTTCTATTTCATTACACCAGATGGAAGTAGATTTTGGGGATCTAACCATGAAAATATTATATATATGGTTAAATATCCAGATAAATAAAATTTAATGAATTAAAAATTATCTACTCTCACTTGTAGAATTTAGCATTATATTGTTTTGTTCCATTTTCTCTCTTTATATATGCATTTTTATAAACAATGAAATTAACTAATATTATATTAGTGTA